ATCCTGAACATTGTAACTCACTATCTCTGTCCTTCTTGGTTTGTAACCTGGTCTGATCCTGAACCTTGTAGCCTACTAGCTCTGTCTATCTTGGTTTGTGACCAGGTCTGATCCTGAACCTTGCAACTCCTTGGGAGATTTTATCACGATATTATACCGGAACCGTTACAAACCCGTGTGTTTCGTGTTGTATTCTAGAACTGTCTTTTGGGAGATTTTTATCACAATATTATTCCGGAACCGTTACAAACCCGTGTGTTTCGTGTTGTATTCTAGAACTGTGTTTTGGGAGATTTTATCACAATATTATACCGGAACCGTTACAAACCCGTGTGTTTTGTGTTGTATTCTAGAACTGTGTCTTGGGAGATTTTTATCAAAATATTATCCCCAGGTTTCTACTACTGTCCAGCAACACGGACGATCGCGATGTATTTTTGTTGTTGAAAGCTTCACAATGGGCCCCCTACAGTGTTTCCACTGCAGGGATCGAACCCCCGATTTTAGTATTATAATGTTACCACTGCGAAGGGCTCGTTGAGTTGTCGATGATCGGAGGTGAAACTCATAGTAAATATCAATGTAAGGTCGAATTTTCGTGAAAATCAGTAAATCCCAGAAAAATAATTGTTTACTTTCTCAAAATTTCTCTTTCTGTACCACGAAACCAAATACAAGGTGCTTAAACTAAACGATATCTTGATACTTTCAACTAGAAAACATAATTTGGTAATAATGTAACAGCAAAATTGATGACGTAATTCAAGTTCTGAAATAAAATGTGTTGTTAATATAACACAAGCCTTACCAAGTAACACAATCATTTCTTTTGGTAACTATCGAATATTAATAGAAAAGTTTATTTAAATCTCCACTCTTGTACTTGAATCAAAAACTTTCGTTCCGAGTGGTTTTAGTTATTTGTAAGTCAGTCTTACCTGAAACGTTAAACGGAGAGACGTTTCGGCTGTAAACACTACCCGTCAGGTTCTTCCACTGTTTGGTTGGTCGGGCCTACAGCTAGCTCTATTTTATATTGTTTGGAAACACGTGGGCGCGATCATTTAGGTGCGTTCCAGCGCTGAGAAAAGATGAAGCTGTTACCGCCTCCGTTAGAGCCTCTAACAACTGAATAATGACGTGACGTGACTAACACAAACACAATACACACATTACACTTTAAATAACAACTGAATAATGACGTGACGTGACGTGACGAACACAAACACACATTACACTTTAAATAACAACTGAATAATGACGTGACGTGACGAACACAAACACAATACACTTTAAA